CGGGCCATCGAATATTCCGTTGCCGGATCAGAAGAGTGAGGCCGCGGAGATTATGATGAGTTTAATTGCGGCGGAGGTGGCTGCGCATACCCCGGAGAAGAGCGTAGAGGGAAAGGGGGCGGATAAAATGGTAGAATAGTCTTCTCTACATGTAGAAAGATGAAAAAGATCGATTGTAAATAGTGACAACTAATTGGGCTGCGCAGCGCTTAGGTAAATTTCGGTAGGTATCGTGGGATTCTTAAACTATAGGAATTCACCGAGTGGGTTGATGTGATGTCTCATGTAGAGTACATACGCCATCGCAACATCTTTGCAAGGCTAAACAGGCACTCGCAACGAGGAAGCAGTTGATACGCCGCATATTATGTAATGCTTGCGGCCTTATGATACTCTATCATGCTCCACACCTGCTTCTATTTGTACTGCTACGCATAACCTGAAAAAATCTCTGTCCAACTTACTCCATGCTCAACATTCGTCCACTTCCACTGCTACTTACACCTGCTCGGCGGGCTTTACAGTACGTTGCACCTCAACCCTCAAAAAATGGAGCCGCCGGTTTAGAGTTCCCCGCCGCAACATACATCACTTGTTGACATAAGCACGTAGGCCTATGCACTTATGGTTCACGTGCATGATGCACCTCATCACCGATCTGCCTACCTACCCCTCTACAAATGCGGGGAAACTCTGGTCTCTTTTCCCTGATAACCCACAACGAAAAGTTTGACTAAAATCGTCACAGACCATCGATCTTACACCATCCCGAGAGCCAGGCACCAGCTTGCCATCTTATTACAAGCCGAAACGTCGCTTTCTAATGGACCCCTTTACCATATCTACTGGGCTGGCTGGGTTCCTCAGTCTTGCCCTCGAAATGACCAAGATCTTGACTGCTTATATTAGCGACGTCAAATCGGCACCAGAAGACGCTAGAGATCTTCTGATTGAGGTTACGGCTCTATGCCACGTATTGGACCAGCTCGTCAACTTCCTCCGAAACGATGTCAAGGGAGACTTCACACCTACCTCCGCCCTCTACATCGCTATCATGGCATGTCAGACACACATCGGGGAGCTATACAAGAAAATTGAAAAGCTACAGATTCGCGGCTCTGCAGATGGCAAGATATCTAAGATCATTAACCGTACTATCGCTTGGCCCCTACACAAGGACGAATACCAGAGTACGCTAGTGGCGCTGCATCGGTTCGCACAAACCTTCCAGTTTTCTTTGACCATTCAAAACTGGTAAGTTCCCTATATACTTAACCCGTTCTAAAATTACGAGTTAACATAGTTTGATGATAGTGAACTTTTGACAAAGACCTCTGCTGAGGTTTTGGCGACGTTCAAAACGAATCAGCAGCAACTGCAGCAGACTATCGATAGCTTTGAAGCAATGAAAATTTCGACCGATGGTTTAAAGGCTGCCTTGCAGGAACAGACGGGCATCTTTAGCTCTGTAGCTGAAGCTATTCAACTTGGAGTGGAGAATCAGGCCAGGATGGGAATCTCGGTGCAAAATATGGAGGGGAAACTAAATGGTTGTGCTTCATAGTACCCTGCAACTAGAAACCACAAAACGCTGATTAAAACTTAGAAGAGGAAACACAAAAACTACTACAGTGGATATCCCCTTTAGAATCTCAGATGAGACACCAGGACATTCGAGGAAAGCGCCTTCCGAACACGGGAAACTGGTTTTTGGAGACGGAGAAGTTCCGACAATGGCGTGATGGCGACGGTAACAGTGGGCACTATGTTCTTGGATGCTATGGAATTCCAGGCGCCGGAAAAACACTCATAAGGCAAGCGAATGACTGAAACCAATTTTAGCCCAAGACTAATATGTTAATATGTCGATAGCTCCCTTGTAATCGACCATTTATCTTCCAGCTTCCCCGAAGAGAATGTCTGTATCTTATACTTTTACTGCGATTATCGTAACCGGGAGGAGCAAAAAGCAGTGAATATTATCGGCGGATTGCTAAAGAGAGCCATCGTCACAGCAAATGCCTCTGTGAACGGTTTTCCGGATGATGTGCAAAAAACATTACTGGAGAAGAAAAAGAAAATGGAAAAGTTAGAAACGGGAGACGCTATTCGAGCTTTATCGGCAACGCTCGAAATATTTAGCAGAGTGTACATCTGCATCGATGCTCTAGACGAGTGCATTGACGAGCACAGAGGGACCCTCATCCGTTCTCTCGTGGAAATGCATATGGCTTCTAATATTGATAATAAGACTCAAAAGACAAAGCTATTTTTCACCGCTCGGCCTCAGATAGAAGATTACATCAACTCGCACCCAGCCATGGCCACCGTCTCTCCGAGTCCGCTTTCAATGCAGTTAGCAGCGAACACTGACGACATCGCTGTATACGTCACCCATAAGCTGAACGAAGACACAACGGTAACAATGACGGAGGAGTTTAAGAAACAAATAGTGGAGGAGATTGTTTCGACAGCCCAAGGAATGTCAGTTTGCATCACTTAATATCACCATATGCTATATTCAAACTAACTTTATCAATACAGGTTTTTACTACCCGCTCTCCAGATCGAAGCCATACTGGAAAAACCTACTGTTCGAAAGAGACGGCAGGTTCTGAAGGAAATGCCTCGAGCTTTGGAGGATGCATTTAGAGTTACCCTGGATAGGATACGAGATCAAAAGCCAGATATATCGAAACAGGCTATGGATGTTCTCCAATGGATTTTTCTTGCAAAAGAACCGCTGACCATCGAGGAGTTACGTCATGCTCTTGCGGTGGAACCAGATGACACCGACCTCGATTGGGACAATTTTGTGGATGCACAACTTCTCCTGAGTTGCTGCCTTGGTTTAGCTATTGTTGATGAATCGACCTCGACCATTCGTCTGGTTCATAAGTCCCTTCAGGATTACTTCAAGATTCAATACGACAAAGGCACAATATTCATGGATGGGCATCATCACATAGCTCACATCTGCCTGACCTACATGTCTTTCGATAGCTACGACAAAGAAGCATTAACCCTGCGGAAGGAAATCCTCAAAAAATACGCACTTCTCAAGTATGCAACTTGTCTTTGGGCCTACCATACTAGCAACTCGAAAACAACTCAAGAAACGGAAGAGATGATGTTTCATCTACTGAATGAAAAGTACGAGTGTTTGTTCTTTCGAATGCTTCTTTCAATGTTCAACATAGAACGAGGGTACCGGGTCATGGGGCTATTTTGCCAATTCCAAGTTATTTCAAGATCCTCTCGAATATACTAGGGAAATAGCAAGGACTAAAAGTTCTTTGGTACATGTGGCTGTATATTCGGGTATGGAGGGGCTTCTTCGTCGGGCTCTTGCGTTTTCCGAAGCAGATGTAAATATGCGCGATTGGTGCTTTGGGGCCACACCAATGTCGATAGCCGCCCAATGGGGAAGTGACGTACTCCTGGTGATTCTTCTGGAAATAGGAAATGCCGATATAAATCTCAGTGCAGGATGGGGTTGGACACCGCTGGTTATAGCAGCTTCCCGAGGGCATCTTGCGGCTGCAAAAGTAATTCTCGAAAATGCTGCTGAAGTGGACTTAAGAAGCAACGATGGCGATACCCCGCTGCACAAAGCCGTTGAGGGAGGCTATGTGGATGTGGTCAGACTTCTCTTGGAGAAAGGTGCTGATGTGAATTTAAAGGATGAATATGACGGCTGTACAGCAATCTTACTGGCTGTTCAGTACAGTAGCATAGAGGTTATAAAGGTACTCTTGGAAAGGAATGATGTTGAAATTGACTTAAAAAATGATAACGGCTTTACTCCTCTATTGGAGGCGGCACGTAGCTCTCGCAAAAATATTATGGAGCGTTTACTAGAAAAAGGCGCCGATGTCAACACACAAGACGATTGGGGCCGGACTGCACTGATTCATTCTGTTGACGTTATCGGCAGCACACCAGATGCATACGATCTTGATTTCGGGATTATGAAACTTCTATTGGCCCAACCAAATATTGACGTCAACGTGAAAGATGGGTATGGAGATTCAGCACTCTCTTTAGCAATACGTCGTGGCGTTTCTGAAACTGAGGAGCTTCTAAGAGCGCACGGGGCAGTCGAATGCTAGTACTTGTCTTTTCATTTCATGTTTTCCATTCTTTCCTGATATGTATCTGCTTTGTATTTCCTTGAGTTACGTCGAACTGAGAGTCGAATGGGGAGCCCGGAGAAGTTTTTTTTATCGGCATACCTATTTTCGGTGGGATGAGGCCGGGGGGGGGGGGGGGGGGGGGGGGTGGCGATTAGTTGCTAGGGATAGGGACTGGGAAAGGAGGAATGTCAGGGCTGATTCCGAAGAGGATGAAAACGGGGGGCTGTTGCATAACTTAGTACGGGCTAGGGAGTAACAGGAGAGGTTGGCACAGGAAAGGAGGGAGCGTGGAGAGGCGGATGCGAAGTAGGTGGATGGCGTGGAGGAAAATGAGCCTAGGAAGATGCAATGGAAGATGCAATGGAGGATGCAATGCAGGATTACCTAGTGGAGCAGCAGTCTGGACAGATGGCGGAGGAATTGGAGATGATGGTGGAGGTAGTAGCGAGGGCGGGCGGTGCGGGCGAGATATTAGGGTGCAGAGGATTCATCGAGGGTGCGAGGGTTCGGGAGCACTAGGAATTGGTTAGGGTTCGTTGGAGAATTTGGGGGCCTGGCAGTGGGGTAGTCTCGATTTATGGAATAGGGTATGTGGCGGGCCGTCGGTGTCTGGAAATGTTATGAGGTTGTTGTAATGTTGTTTATGTACACATGTGTATTCTGCTTTCTGTGCGCGTGCATGGTTAATTGCTTTACATCAGAAGCTAAGCCAGGAGCTCAGCCAAGTCTGGAGTACGCTAGGTTGCCTAGGCAACAGGCCCGCCACTGTGCCCATCATGACGTGCTATGTGAACACCATAGCTCTACCGTAGCCCGTCTCTCCGCGATACATAACGGACTCCAATCTACATGTCTTCATACCAAGAGTCTCTAGCTTACTGGTAGAGTACATGATTGATGTTAGAGTATCACATCGATTCGTTAGTGAGGGTCGATCTAGGTTCGATTCCTGGGGGACTCAGTGTTTTTTGCTTTATGTCTGACCATTGTCGGGCTTCATTTCTTGGGAAGCTTACATGGTCACCTCCTTGGGGATCCTGAAAATATATCTACTTGCTACCTCTTCTTTTGCTTCAAAGTTCTAGAGTAGAATCATGTGAGACAAGCCTGGATAAGTCGAATACCCCATCATGTAAGTCATTCTTGTTCTCGCGCCCCACGGGACTACGCATCAAAGTCAGCAAATAACTTCAGTAAACCATATGTAATCGAGCTCAAGCTAGAATGGTATTTCCATGGCCCGGGCTCTACGAGCTCCCCGGAACAATTTTCAAGCTGCGGTGGGCTCTAAAACCACAATCACGCAAGATCCATGGAAACCGGGCGCCGAAACAAACGCTGCATATGTTCAGCTAGAGAGATTTCAGCGAGAACTGATATTCGCTTGTCATTAATGCTCGTTTACATTGTTTCAATCTTAGACCAAAGTATTATGTGCGAGAATTTCATTCACTGGAGTTGATGGGTACTAGAGAGGGAGTAAGATGAACACGGTGAGGAATTTTTAGGGGTAAGGAATGGGATTGAATGTGGCACTATGGGGTTGAAAAGATAGTATCGACTTTGTTATATACCTGCGAGATTGCGGATCGAGGAGGTCGAGTCAATGCGATACTCGACTCGGTAACAAGCTGCAACGTGTTGTACCGCATCAACTCGCGGATACCATATCCTCGCGTGAAATGAGTCCGAGGCAGCCTCGCAAACCAGGCGCCACACCACAACCTTGCGAAGCGCCCGGAGAGTTTAGTTATAAAGCATTTGGGCGCGCTTGGCACACCCAATTTGGAGCCTGATATCCGCACTCGCAATTCATGTGGTAAACAGCCAACAAATTACTGTAAATTGGTAGATAGCCAAACTAATGCTTTTGTCACACCCAATTTGGAGCGCGCTTCAATTTGGGTTGTTTCTTCGTTTGCCATTGATAAGACAATGAATAAAAACGCAGTGCAAGAAGAATAAATTCTGTTAGATACTACATCACACTGGCAGTACAAATGATAATAGATACCTACATCTCTAAATGGGTCATTTGGAAAAAAAGATTCTGCTAGATACTGCAGCACACTGGAAGCACAAGTCGCAATTTATGGCTAGATATCCATAGTGGGAATTGAGAAAATGAATATGTTTTAAATATATTTTAAACACTGTAACGCGTTGTGAATCCATCATTGTTGAAGCCACTTTTTTTCAAAATCCCCCTTTGAATATAATGGTACCAATTGTGATTTTCACTGCCAGTGTGATGTAGTATCCAAATTTTTTTTGCATATCCCCCTTTGGCTATGTAGATGGAAATTGTTATTCCAATCGATAGTTTATTACAATGCCTAACTTCAGTACTAATATGGAGATGAATGTGCGTGGTTGTGTCATGCATCGTTATGCATCTCCTTTCAAAAGCCCCGCGGGCCCCTGCAGGGAGTAGTGTTATTCTATCGAATAGCGCAAATGATCATTAACTAGTTACTACATACATCAAATTATGTCAAACAAGCTGTGGCCTGTGTCATTTTTTCTACCGAGTTTAAGGTAAAAAGCAAAGGTGTTTTTCATATCATGGTTTCACATTTCTCCGACCAATCGATTGGCTGTATTAGAAATATTTATTTTTCATTAATTTATTATCCCCATATCCTCAGCTAGTTTGGGGGACACTAATTTACTCCTACTCCTACTCCATACAGTATCCAATCCATCCTCTTACACTCTGACATTCTGATTCCTTACACCATACATTCCCAATTCCTTATGCAGCTCGCAGAGTCGCAGCGGATTTACCAGCTGGTACTATCAAGCTTCTTATGACAACGACCATCAAATCCCAATTTTACTTAGTAGAAGTTAAGTAATTAAACAGTTAATTATAAACAGTTAACATATTACCGCTGTAAATATCGTTTTTGTAAATCAACTAACCCATTATTAAAACCCATAGTTAAAAAACCAAGTAAACAAAAAAACAAAACAACAAGATCAATCCGCCTAAACGCCGCCCTAGTCGCATAAACCATTTTCTCAAAAAGAAATGAAAAAATGAAATCCTCAATCTCCTCCTTCATCCCCTATCTCATATTCCCCACCACCCTCCTGACCCACTCCACCTCGGTCTCTCCCCTGCGTCTCGCCATCGTCTGCCTCCCCCCATCTTGTTCCCTCGGATCCAACCCCTGTTCCCTCATCTCCCTCTCCGCCGCCACTCTCCCCCTAATAGCCACGTCCACCCTTCCTCTAAGTTCCCCAAGCCTCTCTCGATTCCTTTCCCTGCGTTCTCGTTGAATCCTCTCCTGGAATTCGGCTGCTTCTGCCATATCCCTCTCTCTTGGAGTTAGGTATCCCTGGGGGCGGGGATTTCCTGTGTAGCGGGGGGTGGCTGAGGCTAAGGAGTTGGAATTGGCTGAGTTAGAGGTAACCGGGACTACAGAGTCAGCCCGTGAAGTAAGCATATTCCTCTGAGCCCTAGCACCGCGAGTCGTTAAAGCAGCAGCCGGAATTCCTAGGATAGATGAGGCGTCGGTATCAGTGTCAGTATCAGTGGTCCCTGCAAAGGCTGTGGCGAATGCGGAACCACGAGGCCGGATAGTGGCGTCGATAACTTCTAGATACCGTGCTAACCGTTCACGGGGGGGAAGCGTGGTATCTGCTGCGGCTCTCATGGCTTCTGGGATGTTTATTGTGCTGTCGTTATCCCTATTTCCCTCGGTTCCACTAGTTCGCAATGCCGATGTCGATGCCGGTCTCGATATAGGTCCTCTAACAGCCCTAATGGGGTGTGGATGTAGTTCAAAAACTCTCCAAGCATTTCCCGATCCCCTTGAAGTAGTAGTTGTTGTTGGCTCTGGGATATTAGATTCTAGAGTATGCATAACAAGGTGAGTATCTAAATCTGTTTCAGGTTCCTGTGCTGCTCGGAGGTTGAATTGTGCTTCCCATGCTTCTCGGGCTGCACGGGTTTGTCGGGCTTGTTCCACCGCTTCCCTAGTTTCGCGGGCATCGCGTTCTCTTGCTTCCCTAACTTCCCTCGCAATACGAGCCTCACGCATTCGTTGTCTCGTATTGCGTTCAGTACGTTCCATAGCTATCCAAGCTTCACGAGAATCCGAAGATCTAGCTTCAGCAGTTACCAGTGCAGCACGGTTTGAGTTTCGGGCTTCAAATTGGGCTTCAATTTCCCGTTCCCGTTGTCGTTCTGCTTCGAGTTCTCTCTCCAGTTGACTTTCGTTACGTTCCATATGAGGCCCTTGGAGTCGTTGTAAGCTGGCTGTAGCTCGTTCCGCGTAGCGTTCTGCCTCTTGGAAATTTGATCGTAGCCGTTCTTCGGATCGCTGTAAATACTCGATTCTTCGCTCTAAGCTTCTTTCATCCCCATCCCCAGTCCCCCGGGCTCCCAGGGCTCCCCGGGGTTCTTGGGAGCTGGCAGTAGCTCGTTCCACATGTCGTTCCGCCTCTCGGAAAGTTGATCGCAGGCGTTCTTCATTTCTTTGTAAGGCCTCTATTCTTCGTTCCAAGCTTCTCTCATCCGGTTCTTGGGGGTCTTGGGGGCTGGAAGAATTACGTTCCGCCTCGGGTTCCGCATTTTGTTGTCTTCCTGGTTCCTCCATTCTTCGCATCGTTCTTCTCCGGCGGTCTCTTTGAGCGGTTCGAACTCGGTCCGCTTCTGCATCGAAGGAATCTACCCTCTCTTGAGCTCTGACTTGATGAACCAATCTCATTTCCTCTGCCAGAAGATCCAGACGATATTGCATTCCCCTAAGTCTCGCCTCCCGTTCCCTCAACCGTGCCAATTCCTCAATAGGATTCCTCTGTCCAACCTCCGCAGTACCAACAACAATTCTCTCCGGTCCAGGCTCTTCAGGTTCTCTTGGCTCCGGCTCAGGAGTATTCCAATCCCGGTTCAAAAACGCATCCTGTAAATTCCCAATATGTCTAATCTGGTTTACCAAATGCTGGAAACTATCGATAGCGTCACTTGGGAGAGGATGAGCGACTTGGAAGGCTGCGTGGCGAGCAGTAGCAGCGGTGAGGTCATCTCGTGGTTGTCCGACAGTTGCAGCGTTGCTAGCGGTATCGGAGGTATCGGCATTGGTCGCAACGTCGGCATTGCTAGCAACGTCGTTTTCACCACCCCCAAAAGTCGCAGCATTGCTAGCAGCATCATTTTCTGCATTCCGGGCCTCCCGCTCGGCATTCATCAACCGAGTTTCTGCATCTAGTACTCGTTGCCGTCGTTGACGTGATAACATGAACACGACGTCATTCTGGGCGCGGCCTGAAGCTCGGAGGATTTCTGTTAATGAGGCGAGTGTTTCGGCGGCTGTGGTGAGCGCGGGTCGGGAGGTGGGGTTGCTAGGGACGGTGTACGGGCATGAGCTGGTGGTTGTGGCGGCGGCGGTCGCAGCGGGGGGGGTCGGGGACATAGCCGGGGGCCGTGGGGTCTCGCCAAACTGGGGGACATTAGCGGGGGAAGCTTAGAAGATTTGGACAGGGAGAATGAAGGGGGAGACAGACGAGGGATTCCCATGGTTGTGTTGGTTGTTGGTTGTTGGTTATGGGGTTGTGGTTGTCAAGGATATCGCGCTCGTAGTTGTAGCGAAGACAAGCTGTACCGAAGGTAGTCACCACTTCGGATGACGGAGATGGCGGCCCACAAAAGCTGATTGAAGTGTGTATTTATAAGCTCGTGTTTCTGGGGGTTCCGTGTAATTCCTCGTTCCGCAAACCGAGAGGCCGTTGTCGACAATGTACACAATTCGTCCTCACGTCAACTGCTGTCGTCGTTGTAGTGTAATGTACAATTCGTCCACACGTTGCGGCTGTCTTTGTTTGCTGTCGCTGACTGAAGCGAGGTGGTTATTCCTCGCTGTGCTCGCGAGTAAGGGAGGTTTGGGTTGTCTCGCAGGGTAGGTAAATTGTGGCAGCTATTAGCTTCCGTGCGTAGCGTGATGCTATTTGTGG